GAGCAATTACTAGCATTCAAAATACCTACATAGAAATTACTCAAAAAGAAGGCAGACAGAGAATTTTGTTACAGTACAGCTGACTAGACCCTGACTCTGCCGTTCAGACTGTTCATCAACATTTTGAGAATCCCACTTTCAAAAAAATGATGCTGAAGAATGAAATGTATATCCCTCAGATGCTCTTCAATATATGGTAAAATATTTCTGATTTCAGCACCCAATACCAAACAGGTTGCTTAATCCATTGTATGTTTTATTATACTTGTTTCCAAGCATAAATAGAACACTAGAAACAGAAAGAGAAAAACTAGTATTTACTAATCATTCAAAATAATTCAACTACATTTAAACCGGAGAATCCTGCCAATAGCTCCTTTGCGTCAGACATTTGCTAGTGAGGCCCACCACTAAGGTCAAAAAGCAGGTAGCTAAAACCATAATATCTTGTTCAACAGTGCCATCTAGCGATTATCTAACAAAAATTCTAGAGCTCTAATTGGAAAACACTGAGGACAATGTAATTACATTGAGGACATTTTTATTGTCTGGGCATATGGTAAAGAAGCTCTGGACACACTCCACCAGGCATTCAATGATTTTCACCCCACCATCAACCTGACAATGAACCAATCCATGCAAGAAATACATTTTCTGGACACTACTGTAAAAGTAAACAATAGATGCATAGACACCACCTTATACTGGAAGCCTACTGACCGACAAGCATACCTACATGCCTCCAGCTACCATCCTAAACATACTAAACGATCCACTGTATACAGCCAGGCTCTACGCTACAGCCGCATCTCCTCCAATCATACAGACAGAGATTCACACCTGAGGGATCTACAGCACACCTTTTTGGAACTAAAGTATCCACCTAATTAAGTCAGGAAACAGATTAACAAAGCCAGAATTATACCCAGAGAAAACCTATTAGAAGACAGACCCAAAAGAGACAATAACAGAACATCACTAGTGGTCACATACAGCTCCCAGTTCAAAACAGTTCAAAGCATCATCAATGACTTACAACCTTTACTGGATAGTGACAGTTTTCTTTCACAAGTACTGGGGGTCAACCTTTTCTTGTGCACAGACAGCCCCCCCGTCTCAAACAACTCCTCACCCACAATAATGCAACATCTCATTTGAACATGGACACTGGGACCCAGATGCCAACTTTGCTGCCATATACACCCAGACAACACAATCACTGAACCTGTCTCAACTACACCATCAGAGGCTCATTAACTTGCTCATCTTCTATGTATATGCCATTAAATGTCAACAATGCCCTTCAGTTCTCTACATAAGAAAAACAGGACAAACCCTATGCCAGAGGATAAATGGACACAAATCTGACATCAGGAATTGCAAGATTGAGAAACCTGTAGGAGAACACTTCAGCCTTCCAGGACATTCAATGGATGACCTCAAAGTGGCTGTTTTATTACAAAGGAACTTCAGAAACAGAATTAAAAGGGAAATAGCTGAATTACAAGTTATTACAACACTTGGTACAAAAACCTCTCCAGGACTCAACAGGGATATTGGGTTTTTATCTCATTACATATGCTAACTCATTCAGTCCTCATATATGTATTCTCAACAAGAAGGACTATAAATCCTCTGTATTGTAATGTATTTTAGAAGAGAAGAAGAAGATATTGGATTTATACCCCGCCCTTCACTACCCAAAGGAGTCTCAGAGCGGCTTACAAACTCCTTTCCCTTCTCCTCCCCACAACAGACACCCTGTGAGGTAGGTGGGGCTGAGATAGCTACGGCTTGCCCAAGGCCATCCAGCCAGGTGCAAGTGGAGGAGTGGGGAATCAAACCCGGTTCTCCCAGATTAGAGTCCACACACTTAACCACTACACCAAACTGGCTCAGTGTATTTCTTTTTCAGAACACTATATTAGAATACTGAATGTAAGCAAGGGATATTAGGATGTCTGCCAACATAATAGCATTTTTGGATGGGGATGTAGTGTTAAGTGCCCTGACAGGAGAGAATGAAGATTCCCAGACACATCCCACAATTAGAAAAGATACCTTTAGACATTTATCTACTAATTTGACATATTTATTGCTTTACAACTGTTGACCTTATAACATTGTTATTTAGTGTCATCATTATCATCATGTTGCATGTTAAAATGCTGGCTTGGCTACAAGTTTGAACCTTGACTGCCATTCTAATGTATTTGATAAAGTGTGCGTGCACACAAAAGCTCATACCTTGAATAAACCTTTGTTGGGTTGTTGTTTTTTTTGATCCCCCTAAGGGGAATTTTTTTATTGATTTTTTACACACTACAAACTACAACCGAAAAGACCCACTAATAACTAAAAACCCAAGAGTAGGAGATCAATACATCATCTTAACTCAATGTTACTTTAAAAAGCTAACAGAACAATGAACATAGCCGGCTATGCTAGGTTAATTATCTCTTAACTATTCATTTAACTGCTTAAAGAAACCCCCCGAGCATCCCAAAATTATTTCAGAGTTTTCAGGCACAAATCAGAGTCCTTCAGTCACTATTTATTCTTCTCTTTTCTAATCCTCAATTTGTATGACCTTTGGGGGGCAGCTGACCCCTTTTCAGAGGGTGAATCCTCGTCTGAAGACCCCGAGCCTAACTCATCGTCAGATTTGCTTTCTTCTTCTTCCTTCTCGTCCTCAGCTGGTTCCCCGAGCTGTGTTCGCAGAAAGTCATGTGCCTTAAGAACAGAGTCAATCTTTTCCTTTTTATCATGAAGTTTGAAAATGACACATTCTGGGATTAACCATCTGTAACTGATGCCATTTGTTTGTAGAAAAAGGATTAGTTCTTTGTAATTCTTTCTCTTCTGTTTTATGTCAAATGGAATGTCTTTTAAAATCCTGATGTTGGTGTCCCCAATTTTCAAAGGAGTTCCCGTAGTTGCTTTCAAAATAGAGCCTCTCACATGTCTCTTTGAGAATCTGACTACTATTTCCCCAGGTAGATTATTTTTCTTGATATATAAGGAATAGGACCTGTAGACCACATCCATCTCGCTGTAGAGGTATTCCGCTGTCAAATCTGTCATTGGGGCTATTGCTTCACTCAGCCGTTGCTTCAGATTCTCTCCTTTAATTTCCAGGACCCCTTGAAACCGTACGACCAAATTGGCTTTCTCCATTTGCAGCTGCAAAAGTTGTGACTCTTCCGTGGCTTGCTTCATTTTCAGCTTCTGCACCTTTTTCTTAACTTTTTTAGTCTTGGCGTCCATTTCCTTGACCTCCTCCTCCGTTGCTTTTAAAGATTGAGTCAATTGTATCTGCTGTGAAGCCATACTCTGGCCAATTGTTGACAGTTGTTGCTTAATGCTAGTCATCTCATCTAGCAGAGGGCGCAAGGAATCAGCCGACATTTTTGAAAGCTCAGTGGTCTCTTCCGTTCGAGGACTACCCACTTTCACTTTCAAAAGTTTTTCTTTCTCCGGCCATCTTTTTGGACTTGTTTACTTATCAACAAGTTGCTAAAGTCTCTGATATTCGCCCAAATGCTTGTCTGCGCTCTGGTAAGTCTTTTAAAACAGTTTCAAACGGTTTTTTTCCCGCTCCCCCCTCTTTATTCTGTGTTTTCATTTATACGTTTGGGAGGGGGCCCTCCCCTGCTCGCTTCCCTTCGCTCTTTAAGGGGGGCAGCTTTCTTTTTAAATCTTCATGCTCGCTTCAACCCAACTCACAGTTCGTTGTTGGCCAACCAGCCTCACTCGGCATCGGGGGGTTTTGCCCAATCTCCAACGCTTGTCCCGGTCAGCAGCACTCGTACCATATGGTCACTCAGCGGCAGAACCTTCGGGGTGGAGGAGCGCCTCAATTCTCCAGCATCTCGCCGTCGAAGAGGCCACCCCTCAAAAGCCCCCAGGCTAGGAGCCTTTTGCTAAGGCTCCGGGGGGGTCGCGACCCATCGCACCCCCTCCTACACGTTGGTGTGCAGTTTGCATCCCCGGGGCATCCGGGAGATGCGTCTGCCTGCATGTCGCCATAGACCGAAAGTCAACCTTTGTTGGTCTTAAAGGTGCCATTGGACTCTAAATTTGTTAACAATCTTAAAAATCTTAATTTAAACAAAGGGCATTAATCTAGCTAATGGCTAAACTGACACCATGCTCCCTCCCTCCTCCCCTTTCACAGCATGCCAGGGTTGAAGATGAAAGTCTGACTCCCACCGGTTGTGATACCATGATGGAAAGGACCTTCACTAACTGAGGTCTGTTCCCATCTTATTAATTGCCAGTAACTGTTTAGGACGGAACTGCAGGATTTTTAATCTGTATTAAACCATGATCAAGAATTTCAGTTACTGGGATATAAACAACCCTCAGCAGTAAGGGTTTTAAACAGTTTTACAATTACACCTAACAACCAGAATTAGACGGAAGATTTCTATCATCAGTTCCAATATGCTACATGCAATTAACCAGATTTGTGCCCATCCCACAAACCATCCTTTGGCAAAACATGGTTTGCTGCTATGTCTAAACCGTGCTACAATTTACAGAATATAATTGCATAGGCTTGGACCCTGCACCTTCTTTCTGCTTGCACTCCTCTACATCTGTTGCAGAGGCAGTCCTCCTCTGCACAGTACATGTTCCATTGCCACTAAAGACTTCCACTCACATAAGACCTGCTTATTTAAAGGAGCTGGAAAGCACCTAGCATGAGAGGAATGTGATGCATAATGAAGGACAATTTCCACAATGGATGAAGAGGCATGCACGTGGAAATCCAAATGGATTTACCATGGATGTACGGGATCCAAGCAATACTTTCCCTATAGGGATTTATTCTGTTATACATTATTCTTGTCTTGTAGCAGCATATCAAGCATTGACAGCTTTAGTTCAATGGCATACTCTAAACTTGTCTGTAATTATTCTGCCATTCCTCTGTAGATTTCTCTGTATTCTCCATCCCCTTCCCCCATTAATAAAATATAAGCACATTCACTTACCCATAGTGTATTTTCTTTTCCAGTTTTAACTCTGCATGGTTAAACACGAATGAGGCATGACAACACATCTCTCAGAACAGAAGTTTCTGAAAACGCAAATGAAAACACAAATGGCTTTTTCCATTTTCACACACATTACATAAAAAGAATACAAATAAAAAAACAGGAAATCAGTCACAGATACTGAATACAGAGTATCTCTCCCATATATATAATTGAGTAAGACGCAGCGTAAGACAAAATGTGCTCCGTCAGCCATTGGCCGGCCAGCTGCCGCTCAAGGCTGCTATCCTGCCATTGGCTGGGAGGCGGGAGGTGAACGCTGCGTCTGAACGGCGCGGCGACAATGCACCCCATGCCGTGCCCCGATTTCCCTCCCCCACCCACCTACCCAGTTGAAGGGCAGTGGCGGCAATTCCTTCTCCCCCCCTCGCCAGGCCCAGAGTCGCCACTTCCTTCTCCCCCCAACTGTCCCCATGGCTTCTCTGGACCTCACCAGGCCCAGAGTCGCCACTTCCTTCTCCCCCCCGACTGTCCCCGCTGCTTCTACATAAAGGCAATTCAATTATAAGCTCACTGAAAAAGAACAAATATTTAAGAGAATTTTTCCCAAACTCTTCTGAAAAAGAATTCTAGAATCTTGGCGCCACCACTTAAGATACTGCAGTACACAGTTTAAGAGCGGCATTTACCACACTTCGTTTTCAGTCTATGCCCACTGAATTGATGTTTGGAAAATATCCCAATAAACCACAGGAACAACACATCTGTACATGAAGAACCTCTGTAGAAGATTTATTTCACTATATAATGATTGGTCCTTTATATTTGGACCTCAGAAGTAGATTCCTATCTGGAATTTTAAGCCAAGTGCACAATTTATCAGACAGTGAAAAGCTGATCTTTCTCTTGTCAGATACGAACCCCTTGGAAGGAAGCACTTTTTGCACTTGCACCTAGGAAAGTCAGATCCAAGGCGGCTTTTAGAAATGTCTCACAATGAGTTATAAAGTATTGATACCATGCTTTTAAAATTCCAACTGCTGTAATCCTGACATTTTAGTTGTACATTTTAATTTAGTTGTATAATTGAGTTTTATTCTGAATGCAATGTTTTAAATTATAAGTATTCTTTTATGTAATTTTGTATTGTAACAGCCAATAGCTATATACAATAAATCTATTCTACTCTACTCACCACTTAAAAATGGTCTCACTCTGGCACCATTCCATTTATTTTCAGGAAAGGTGGTACAACTACAGATGTTTTGAAATTTTTCTAAGCCACAGGAAAGCTTCTCTCTTTTTTTGGTCCATTCTCCCCCCCCCCCCCCAAAAAAAAAAAACCCTGGAATTTTTTTTGGGTGAATGAAACCTACACAATACTTGCTTTCTTACCAAACCTAAACTTACTTTAGTGCTTTAACAACATAAAAGTTTCAATTATACTGCTGTTAGCATATAAAACTTGAAAATTTATGAAATTTAAATTTGTTTGGTTTCTATAAGCAAAACTGTGAGTATATCCAAACACTAGAGAAAGAGCTACAAACTGAACCCTATGCTACTTTAGCACATAGTTCTTGCCATATGAGAGGCAGAAAAAATTACTGAATAGAAAAATGCACATTTTGTAGTAGAGAATTATCTGGATAGAAAGTTTCATATAGCAGCATATTCAGATATTAATTTAAATTTATAACCCTGGACTTTTCTATAGTGTATTATCACCACATGCATTGTAGCATATTAACTGTGGGCAAAATTTGACATATAAATATCTAACACGTCAATGAAAATGTTCTAGGTCTACTGCATACAAAGAACTTATCATTATCTGTAGAAAGTCTTACATAATAAATCTTCACACTACTAATTTGAAATATGTAAAAACCCCATCTTAAACCCATTTCATTCATTCCAAATGAGAAATATTTTAGAGTTTTTCCAGCGCTGCTTAAAACTTCTAATATTTTTGTTGGAAAAAATGGAACAAAATCCTCAGAACAAAAACAGGTATGTCCCCCCCCCCCCCCAAAAAAAAAAAGTATTCCAGATTTTTGCTTGGGAATTCATAATACCCCAGCAAGGCTCACTGCTGGATCTTAAAAGGCAAGTGAATTCAAATTCCTATGAAATTCTGTAAAGCACCATATACACTGATGGCAATATATAGCTATACCACCCAAAATTCCACAGACCCGTAACACTGCAGGTGACGCCAAAGAGGTAAAAAGTCCAAACATTATAGCACATCATGCTGAATGCAAATTCACTCTTGGTACCCTACCATGAGATACTAGTTTGATGTCGATTTCATCATGGTACAGTCTTATAGTGGAAGATTGTTTTGTATAGACTGTGTTTCACACTACTTTCAAATTTTAGTTGAAAAGAAGGCCACCTAAGACACCTAACTCTCAAATGCATTATGCTGAAAGTACATTAAGACCATGAAAGAAATTATACAATAATCCGAGTATACTTTAATTAATGTGGTGTGTACCTTCATAACCTAAGGCTATGACTCTAAACTTCAACAAAATTCATCTGAAATCAAAGTATTTTGTTCTGCTTTGAAACGTTCCTTAAAAAGACAAAACCAGAGCAAATCTCAGCTATCTTTGCTATAGTTAATAAAGTGTTACTCTCAATTTTGTTGCAGTTAGTCTCATCATAAAACAACTTCTATATACCTAAACGCCTTCAAGTCACAACTGACTTATAGTAACCCCAGCAAGGGGTTTTCAAGGCAAATGAGAAGCAGAGGTGGTTTGCCCTTGCTTTCCTCTCCCACCCAAGTACCAACCCTGCTAAGCATCTAAGATCTGACCATACTATGCTGCCTTCCTAAACATTAGGGGGAAGGGTACAAAACAACTTCTGCATCACTGTTAATGATAAAATACACATACGTTCACTATTAATATCCTAAAGATTCACAGTGCCATCTTAAACTGATAGCTGCATTCTTCTAAGCCAATTGAGTTCAATAGATTTAAAAGGGTTTAACTCAGTTTAGGATGACACTGTCACTTTTGTAGTTACAATAGTTTAGGGGCAAACACGGATCAAAATGCAGCTCTGAGGCACATGAGAATCATCTCAAATTACTTTACATCGAGCTTTACATATTGAGAAGCCCAAGCCTGTTCAATTTTTATGAACCCTTTTAACAGATATAAAAATATAGTTAAAACACACTCCTTGGATTAAAGCCAACTTTATCCAGTGTTGTTTAATTAGACTGCCACCCAGCTACCAAACATACTAGTGAAAAATAAACAGGGGCCCCGGTCACACGGGCAGGAAACTGCAGAGGAGAAGCGTGGCTGTTTGCCCTGAGGCAAACTACTGCGCAGTTACGCGATCAGACCTCCTGTGGAGGTCCTGTGGAGGTACCGTGGAGGTTCCATGGCAAGGGAGAGGTGCTGATCACAGGACAAGCCGGCGCGCAACGAAGAAGCGCGCGCCGCGGCAAACTGTTTTTTATTTTTGTGTACATGACAAATGCGCATGCTCCGTTGGGTGCGCATGCGCATCCACAGAGACTTGGACAAAAAAAACCACACCTTATTTGCAAGGGGACATGGGCGGGCGCCGGATGCCTCCGGAAACGCGATCAGACGCCCGCCCTTGCCCCGCAGTTTCCGGAAACTAGTACCTCCAAGGTACTAGTTTTTTGCCACGCAGTTTCGGCTGGAAGCCTCGGTTGAGGCACGGGAGTGCTACGCTTCCCAGATGTGCTGGTGAGATCGCGCCCGGAAACTCCGACTGTTTTCCGTCTCACTTGTGTGGCTTCTGTTACGTGTGACCGCAGCCAGGATTACTTATTAATCAGAGTAAACTTTTCTCCAGCTGGGGATACTTTGCCCAGAAAATTACTTTATAAAATGACCAATATTTTAAAATCTCATGAATGGTTCACAGCTACTATAAAAGCCTGTACTTTGCTTTAAGATATGCCAAGTTTGAACTGGTCAAAATATTCCTTCTACCAAGATATAAAACATATTGCAGGTGCTTTTTCAGCCTGCAGCTAAAGGAGAAAAGCACACGTGAAAGCTGTTCAAATTGGCTCACCAGAACCCAAATTGAAATGCTACAGCAAGGCTTGTAATGTTAAAGGCTGAGGGCCCATGAGGGAAAGAACAAATAACCAGGAGAACTTTTCCTCCCCATATAATGCAACAGCTGACCTCCAGGGCTAGATGAGCAGCTTCCTGCTCACCTAAGCTCTTAACCTCAACAGTCCAGCATGCTATAGCAAACTGCCCTGTAACCCAGACTATACAGATGATCAGGATCCTGACCTCCTAGCCCAGACCTGTACAAAGAGGAGAGCATTTGTACCCTTCCCCATGATGTTTAAGAAGATGAGTTCACAGGAATGCATACCTAATTTCCTGCCTAAATATTATATGCTTATTAGGGGGCTTGGCAGGCCAAATTTCCCTCATTTAACTAACTCTCAGCTGCCATCAACATTCCATGCTTTTTACAGAGCAATGAACATATATGGTCCTCATCAGTGAGGTGGGGGGAAGAGATCTCCTTTATAACTGACAGAGCAGTATTCTGAATATCTGGGTGATCTCCTAAGTATACAGAATCTCCCAACCTTGTCTGTATTCCAATTTTTCTGTTTTCTTGACAGTCACTGAACTACGGCTGCTTGAAGAAACAAGTTGGAAACTTCCAAAGATGGGAAGGGTTAAAAACAGGGAAATTTTCCCCAAACCTAAACTTCCCCTTCTAGATATTATGACATCTTGTGGGCTTGAACAGTTTGTTTTAAAACATTCTGGGTTGTTTTAAAAATCTAGGCTATGGGTTCCAGCCTCATTTAGCCTACAGCCTCTTTTGGAATGCTCTGACGGGGAGACAGTACCACCACACAATGGTTGCCATGGGGGTACCTTCAGCATATCTGTTTCTCTGGGAATGGAAAAATCTACCAAATAAATAAATTTGAGTTTGGGGGGGGGGGGGGCGCTGTACTGATTTTTCTCCATCTCCTCCCCCCATATTTTTAAAAGACAATTTCAATTAAGTGAAACATCCAAGATAAATTTT